ATAACATAATTCAGACCTGAAAGCGAATAGGACATGGACCCCTCAACTGACCAGACCTTGAGCCAATAAGATCAACATGTCTTTTTCTGCAAACGTTGAAAGCGACAGAACTTCTGAAACGCATTGCAGGAGAGCAAAAGAAAAATGAAAACTAGAACTTGCACAATATCGTGAAGTAGCTGCTTTTGCTCAATTTGGCTCAGATCTTGATGCTGCCACTCAATATTTATTAAACCGTGGCGCGAGACTAACAGAAGTGTTGAAACAACCACAACATAGTCCAATGAAAACAAAACAAAAAGAAAGAAAACTGAAATAAAATAATCAAATTTTGCATTCAGCAGCACATTCAGAGTTCAATGGGAGCAGAGCCGACCCTTGGAGAAAAAAAAAAAAAAAAAAGATACCTTGCATCCGCAATCACTTGGATCTTTGCACCATCAGCGACCAGATCCAGAAACATCAGCTTGGCACCGGAGGCTGCCTTCCTCATTATCCTTCCTGCATAGAATAGCCAAATGCAGAGGAAACGCCCACAGCTGCAAACGTAAATAAATTTTAAAAAAATAGATAAACAACTACATTATTAATGATTTAATAAACACATATGCCATAATCTCCTCAGTTTTTTTTTGTTTTTTTTTTGGGGAGGGGGGAGGGGGTTCACGAGGGGGAGGGGAGTTACTATCTGCTAGTTCCTATCTCCGGAAAAAAAGAGAAAATACCTGACAGAACTACCGTTTTCACCTGAATACAACACACGATTATTATCACTGTATCTAGACTGAATATTGCCCCCAATGCAGCAATATAAAAACCATTCCTTCTATTGGGTTGAAGACACTACCTTCTTCAACCTAATACAACGCACGGTCATTATAGCTGTATTTGGGGTATCTTTCAGTCTAAATGCAGCAATAATGACCGCACGTTCTATTCAGGGGAAGAAGGTAGTCGTCTGAACTTGAAAACACAGATACACTGACTGCTTGCCATTAAGAGTCAAGATCGTTTTGATGTACTTGCAACTGTCGTATTTTCAACGGTTATATCCGAAATCGGCATCCTCTAGGAAGGGTGAGAATGGTGAGAAGCAACCCAGTGCATGACACGACAGATTCAGAAAAATAACAATATGCCAGAGGGCAGGGATGGACACAACAATCACTGCCAGGATTGGGTTGTAGACAGTGCCTTCACATCTGCAGAAAAATAACAATGGGTTCTGCAGGACCCCTTTTCCTGCAGGACCCACCAATAATAACTTTTGGTAGATGCAAAACAGAGAAAAAGAAAGAGGAAGAAAAAGGGGAAGGACTCCGAAGGAGAGAAATAGATGACGAAGAAGTACGCTGCAAAAGTACGTGCCTGCGGGCTGAAAAAAGTCGAGAGCTAGATCCACAGGTCAATTGTCCCAATCCTGTCTGGTCACATAACTCTAGGAACTATAACCCTACTCCTTCAGTTTTTTATTTTTTGTTTCGATCAGAAACCCCTTCAGCACACCGACACGCGGTTTTCCAAAAAGAAGAAGAAGAAGAAGAAGAAGAAGAAGAAGAAGAGAGCACACAGAAAGGGGCAAGAGCTTGCCACGAACAGACTGCCGAGTGCATTGTGTTGTTTTTGCAGACGCAGAAACCTACCCCTTCAGTTTTTTATTTTTTGTTTCGATCAGAAACCCCTTCAGCACACCGACACGCGGTTTTCCAAAAAGAAGAAGAAGAAGAAGAAGAAGAAGAGAGCACACAGAAAGGGGCAAGAGCTTGCCACGAACAGACTGCCGAGTGCATTGTGTTGTTTTTGCAGACGCAGAAAAGAGGAAGAAGAAACTGTCCCTGCAAAGGATCAGACTGGGGGACGAACCTTCTTTTTTTTTTTTTTTTTTTTTGGTTTCATCCAGAGCATTCGCTTACGGCGTGTTCAGGAACTGCTACAAAATAACAGTTTTCAAGTGCGGCAGACAGTTTATTGGTTGCTTTGGCAGAGAGAACAGGTCGCCCAATAACCATTTTGTCAGTGCGGATGGAAGGATGTTGTCCATCTTTCCTCTGTCACCACTTGTTCATCCTTACCTTTTGCGGCACAGTGTCAATTGTCATCTGTAGCCATTCCACATCCGCGGGAAAAAGAAAAGGGGGAACAGAACGACAGCCGCCCACTGTCAGGCGGTTCCCCTGGGAAGGTATTCCCGTCAATCGACGGTCGTCGGCCGGCAGGCAAGCAGGTGGGTGGGTGGGTGGGCGGCAGGCGTGCGTGTGTGCGTGCGTGTGGGTGTGGATGTGTGTGGGGGGGGCGGGCGAGCAGGTGGGTGGGTGCACAGGCGAGCGTGTGTCCCCCTGTCCTGTTCAAAGGGCATGTCCTGCTTTTTCCAGCTTGCCATAAGGGGAGGTTATCCTTCTCTTCTTCCCATTCTTCTCCACATTTCCCTGAGCCTCAATGACACCTCGATGACTCCATGATTTCCTTCCCCACTGGGAAACGCACCCAATGCAACTGGTTCCTCTACAACCCCCCCTCATTCATGGCCTCTGCCCGCTCCACCTCTGCTCCTCTCCTCCTCCACCTCCTCGCTCTCCCTTCCTTCTCGCCATAACCGGTGTCCTTTCGAAACAGCAATCTTCAAAACAGCACACCGCTAGGCAATGCAACAGAAAACAGGAAACAAGCAAATCTTTTTGAATGTCGTCTCTTGCAGGTTGTCTCTCATCACATGACCTGCCAGTGTCCTTTTTGGTGTCTCCCAAAACCAACCACCATCACAAAATACCCCTTCCTTACTTTACGGGGTTTGAGATAGAGAGAATTGGAGAAGAAAACGAGCAGCACACGTGCACCCTTTTACCTGCAACAGAAACAGCATCAACAGGAAACAAGCAAATCTTTTCGAATGTCGCCTCTTGCAGGTTGTCTCTCGTCACATGACCGGCCAGTGTCCTTTCCGGTGTCTCCCCAAACCAACCACCATCACAAAATACCCCTTCCTTACTTTACGGGGTTTGAGATAGAGAGAATTGGAGAAGAACACGAGCAGCACACGTGCGCCCTTTTACCTGCAACAGAAACAGCATCATCCTTGAGATGTTCGCCACTGCCAAGCGAGGCATATTTTGTAACGAAGCTGGGGAGGTCAACTGTCACCTGGAACTTGTGGGGATAAGGATTGGCTCCCGACTTCTTCAAGTTGTCGACATACTTCAGCCGATTCTCCAAATATTTCTGCAATTGTTTTCACAGCCACCACACAATTCCACCCCAATGTAAGACATTCCAACTCCGACTACCCAAACAAATCCACCCCAACGTAAGAATCCGACCCCCGACTAACGCCCCAAAAAAAAACAAAAAACACAGAGAAGCTTGAACGAGACTCGTTCATTAAACCTCCACTCCATCCGAGGTTAAACTCACAAGCCTCGAAACGCCCTGTAAACCAAGCTTTGCTGAAACACCAGCACAGCATTTTTGTTCTAGTTCTGTCTGGCACCACCAGCCATTTTGGTCGGGTTGCCCCAAGCCTCTGGATTTTTCAGAGCGACTCGATCGTGATCCTCAAGTTGGCTGGGGCCATGTACTGGTGGTTTAAGGAGGAAGGAGGGGGGGGGGAGGGAGCGGGGGGGTCCCTCTATGCACTACACGAAGCATATGCTTGTCCTTTCTTCTTTTCTCTTTGAATTTGGACCGTTTCTTAACTTGTGGGAGTCATCCTTGCACGACGGCCATGCTAATCTTTTCGCTGTATCTGTGCAATGACTCTGAGTAACAAAATCTATAAGGCATGCATCACTCCTATCAGCACAACCCAGATACTAGAACGGCTGCGCTCTAAGAGAAGAACTCCAACCCCACAGGAAGAGCCCATCAGCAGGCTTGTCAAACAAATACCCTTCGCAAGAAAAACTTCAGTTTCAACAGCCCATCACCAAATAGCAGACACCTGCACATAGAGATCACAGATCTGCTGACCTTTTCTTTTTTTTCTTTTTTTTTCTTTTTTTTTTTAGTTTTGATTCAGAAGATTGATATCTCGAACTGACAACCACAGACCAATATGGACTCGAAAGAATCAAGTACCAAGGGAGAAAGAGATGGAGAGGCAAAGTGACGGAAGGACTGGAATATGTCCGCAGTAGTAATTCCTGCAAAGAGCCAGGGGCAAAGGCAAAAGGGAGAGAGCCCAACCGAAAAAGAATCTGCATAACGAAACGCAGCTTCAGTTAAATCACCTCCACAGCGCGTGGACAATCAGGCCAACCCCTGCAAACAGGAGTTAAGACCTCGATGGACCTCAATGGAGGGACCGGAATACATGCGCAATTCAATGGAAGAGCTGAAAAAGGGCAGGGCCATTGGGAACCAGGGCAGCCGCAAATGACTGCTGATTTAAGACCAAGAGATAACCAAGCATTAGGGTACATGAGCCAAACTGTATTGGCAAACTGAACCTTTGCCCTCCTCAATTCAACCATAACTACCCCTTCATTCTGACACACAAGAGTTGCTTTCATCACAATCTCGCAATCCCCTTCCGTCCCCCTCTCCATCGGATGCACGGGTGTATAACCCAAAGCACAAAATGTGTTTTTTCTCCTGTTGTGGCTGAATGGCATACACAGATGTACTTATTGTTTAGTAAACAGGTCAAGAGTTCAAATCCCTCCTACAGTAATCTGCTCGATACAATAATGCTAGAGGCTGGTCCTCTATTTAAAAAAAAAAAGGGGGGGGGGAGAGAGAGAGAGAGAGAGAGATGGGAGGGGTTACTTGTTGAGCACAAGGCATTATACTTTCCCATCATAGAAAAGCAAAAACAAGAGGGAGAGAGAGAGAGAGAGAGAGAGAGATGGGAGGGGTTACTCGTTGAGCACAAGGCATTTTACTTTCCCATCATAGAAAAGAAAAAACAAGAGGAAATTAATTACCCATGGATCTGTCTCTTCTTCCTCCTCCGCAGCAGCAGCAACTGTCCCCTTAGCTTGCGCCTTTGCCGCCGCAGCCTCGGCCTGCCACAAGTGTCACAGAAATGTGTTCGATTCAGATCACAAACACTCCCAGACATGGGTCTTGGCACAGATGTTCACAGTTTCCCAGATATCGATCCGAAGCCAACACACACAAGGTCGCAAGAGAGTGCAAAAGAGAACGACAGAGAAACGCAAAGACACAAGAAAAAAAGAGACAAAGAAGTGAACAAAGAACAAGCAAAAGCAAAAGAGACAAAAGGAAGACGGAAAAGAGAAGAGAAAACGGAAGACGAATAAAGGGAAGTACAGAACAAACAACTGAAAGATAGAGAGAGAAGGATAACACAAGAGGGCCATCGAGAGATACGTACCCCATACACACATGACACAGGTGCTGCAAATCATCATCACCACCACCATTCCATCTTTATCATCATCATCATCATTCCATCATTATCATCATCATCACCATTACATCTGTATCAACATCATCATCATCATCATCATCATCATCATCATTCCATCATTATCATCATCATTCCATCATTATCATCATCATCACCATAACATCTTTATCATCATAATCATCTTCATCATCATCATCATGACACCATTTTCCTCATCTTCATCATCACCATCACCTTCATCATCACCATCATCTTCATCATCATCTCCGTCTTCTTCACATTGTCATCACCACAGCACCATCCTCTCTGCCGCAATTACATGATTACCCCAAACATCCCCCCTTGTTCTCATCTACCCCGGGAGCATATCCAGAGATGGGCACCAGACAAGTCCATAGGAGCTTTTGCATCACATATGAAAAAAAGGCACAAAATTTAGATCGAACAAACCATTACGCCATTCGAAGATCAGAGATGCGCCTTAAAGCAATTGCAATGACACAGCTGCTGCAAATCATCATCATCATCATCATCATATTCGCAGCGAGATCGGGGTTTAGGCTGCCATGATCACTATCATCTTCCCCCGAACATAACGCACCCTAAAAATGAAAGTATACAAGCTATATGTCCGGCCAGATACAGCCAAAATGAGGGTGCGTTGTGTTCGGGGGAAGACGGTAGTCCATCATTATCACCATCATAACAAATTCGCAATGAGATCGGGGCTTAGGCTGCCAGAAATTTAACACAAGCCATCTATTCTGCATTTTCAGTCAGCACCTACCGTCCTCCCCCAAACAGCACGCCTATTGTAGCCGTATTGAGGCCAATTTTAAGTCTAGATACAGCGATTAATGTGAAGACCATAGCAAAGCAATCAGCTGATCCCTCCATACTGAGTGGAAAGAAAACTGGAAACTCACCTTCAGCCTCTCTTTCTCTTCCTTCTCCTTCGCCTTCTGCTCTGCCTTCTGCCGCCTCTTCAGCTCACTGCTCATCCCACAACTGTCTCTTATACACATCTAGATGTGTATAAGAGACAGTATATATAGTTTGAATCAGGGTCACCAGGCCGTACGTACAGAGATCCCCGGGCCGACCTTCGTATGTACGGGCGTTCGGGGTCCCGTACGGGGTCCGAACCCAACGGTGTTCAGCCCCCACCAAAAAATATTTCGAGGCCTAATTTTTTTTTTTTTTTTTTCTGACCTTTTTTTAGCGAGTTCTCTATGACGTGAGGTACATGCCTATAAACTTTGACGTCATTTGGCTGAGCCAAATAAGAATTAAAAATCGCCAAAGATGGCGGTGTCAAAACGTGCTCGCCCACATTTTTTTTCACTTTTTACTTTTTGTTTTCACTTTAGTTCGGGGCCTAAACAACTTTATATTACTTTTTGAAACTTTTTTAGTGGGTTTTGTATTATGTGAAGTCCACATCTGTAAATTTTCAGGGCATTTAGCTATGCCAAAAAAGAAAAAAAAAACGTGCTCGCGGACTCACTAAATTTAATTATTTTTAAATTTTTTGTTATTTTTATTATTAGTATTTGTTCTCCATATTTTATTTTTATTCCAAATTTGGCAAGGAATTTGGATGTCATTGTAATAACCCTGTTCAGAAGTAGCCCGGGGCCTAGAACTCAGCCCAGGCCACGCAGACCAGAACAGGTCTGCGCTGGGCTGTGTGACCAGCACATGCCCAGATCTGAGAAGGCCGCACGCGGCTGTGGGACCAAGTGCTAGGCTCAGGAAATTCAAGAGTCAAAATCAAACTGTTAAGTCAAAGGTACCACGCCAGGCCCTTGGTTGGATACATCCACTTGTTGTGCGCAGGTACCAAGACAGGCATCCAGGCCGAAGAGGATACAGTTTCAGATCAATCCAGACACTTACCGGTGTTGAGATCTGGACGGCTGGAGACCGCAGCAGCCGGGGTCTGGACCCCGAGTCAACGCTACATAAGCATGGACTCCTTGGCTTTGACATGATTCTCATGCTGTCTTGAGTCCACGCTGACTCTATGACGCAGGATGCGACGTTGGCTTAATGCTGCGACGCTGGTTGGACGCTGGCATTTGGCTCGCAATTCGAGAGACGACGGCGGTCCAGCATTGAGGCTGGCTGGCACTTGTCTTCTTGGATTGCTGACGTGGCAGCTGCCACGCGTCGTCGCTGACGTGGCTGCTGCCACGTAGGATACATATTGCTGAGGTGGCAACATTACGTGACCTGTATTGCTGTTCTTTTCGCGTCATCACTTCAAGGACAGATCAAGGCTGTTGTATCGTCACTTCAGGAGGAGATTGGGACTGTGAGGAGGTTGTGATACATACCTGGATTCTTCATGTTGACAAGGCTCCAGCGCTGATTATGGTCTGATAAGGTGCCACGTGGCACATTGTGACAGGACTTCGATATGTGTTCAGATTACTGGTTACTGTGAGGTGGTGATCAAGGAAGGAGCCCGGAGAAGGAGTGGGCACTGTGATTTCCTCTCCCTTGTCTTTCCTCCCTCCTTCCTCTTCGTCTGTGTATGATTATCTCACCTCTCTCCTTCTGAATACTGTTTGATTATTGGAACTATCAGCGGCTCGATAATCTGGACTTGCATTGTCGACATTCGTATTCATGACTTGGGTTCATTGCATCATGATCAGGCAAATCTTGTTTAATTTATTTTTCTTCATAACATATCTTTGTTTCAGATTTTATTTATTTTTTTTATTTTATTTTTTTTGGGCCCGCGTTCGGCCCGAACGGCCGAACGCATCCCCAAGGGGTCTCATACGTTCGGGCGTTCGGGTTCGGGCGTTCGGCCCGTCCCGAACGCCGGTTACCCTGGTTTCAATTTTCTTTTTTTTCTTTTTTTTTCAATTTGGCAAAGAATCTCGATATGACCCTGAGGCAAAAGTTGGTCCCGTTATTTTTCTGCTGCACAACGTAGTTTTTTTTTTTTTTTTTTTTTTTTTTTTTTTTTTTTGTTTTTTTTTGGCTGGGACCTTCC